GATGTGCCGATCTGTCAGTCGGCAGCTCAAGCAAAAGTTACAGACTGGTCGCTACGTCTGTTGGTCCCAAAGCGCTTAGAGAATTGAGACCGTTTACTGCCTGACAATAGTCTCAAGTCCTTCAAGTTCATTCGGTACACTGGCCACAGCAAGCCTGGTGTCAGTGAGAGTATTTGCGTAGTTGACGGTTCGCAGATCGCTAACTTACAGAGACGCTTTTATGGATGGGCGGAACATTTTCATTCCCAATTCAACTGGTCCTCACCGTCCACTTGCATACCCTGTGAACCCAGCTACCTGCTCGGGGTCATCTCACTTGATCCACTCACCGAACTGGAAATTCATCTTACGATTCGACTCTTGAAACGATTCAAGGCTTCCGGCTCAGATGGAATTCCTACGGAGCTGTTCAGATATGGCGGCGCAATAATTACAAACTAGCTAACCTTCCAGATCTCCAAATAAGGCATGAAGAAAAGGTGTCTTCTTCCCGGGGTCAGTTATTGTCCCGCATTTCATCCGTCAACCATCGGGGATTAGTCTCATTTCAGTTGCCTCCAATCTATTGCATTCAGTCTGATACCAAGACTACCCCCAAATCGTGAATTATGGTACCGGTGAGAACGAACTGGCTTCTGTCTTGGTCGTGGATGTGTGGACCGAATCTTTACACTCCGTCAAATCTTCGAACACTGCCACCTCTACTAGAGTTCTTCTATCGGTCTTCCTAGACATCCGTGCTGCATTCGACCCAGTTGATCGACCTATGCTATGGAGTTGTTTGCTAAGGAACGGGGCTCATAAAAGTATCCTGCCATCATACGCGCACTGTAGCACGTTTTTGGCAGATGGAGAGTTTATGGCGAGCTTTATTTGCCCTTTGCAATTAATCGCGGTGTTCGACTGAGATGCTACACGTCCACGTTCCTCTACAAGTTTACGAGTGAGAGCGTCCTGCCGAGAGCTCTGGGAGGTTACGAGAGTTTTGGCTTCCAGCTACTACGGGGTAAGCGAGCGACGGACTTAAATTATGCTGATGACATCGCCTTATTTGGTGATGACACGCAGAGCATGCAAACCATTCTAAGCCGTTTAGCGATTGAGACATCTAAGTACTGACTGTGCTTTGCCTCGTTGAAGTGTAAAGTGCTGATATAAGAGTGGCACTCACCCGTTCCCGTGCCTACCCTTGAAGGTAGACAGCGCGAATACGTTGATAGCTTTGTATACCTGAGTAACTGAGTATCTGCTGGTGGCAGCACTGAAAAGGAAGTTTTTCTAAACATCTCCAGGGCTTGGTTGGCATTTGTCAAAACGAAACCCTTGTGGCGGCGGCAGGATGTCTCGCTCTTTGTGAGCGACCGAAATTACAATGCCTGCGTTCGAGCGGTGTTGCATTATGGAGTCCAGTCGTTGCCAGTTCTATAAGATGACATGCGTCGGCTTTCAGCCTTCGACAGTGGGTGCCTGAAGAGGATTGCTAGTTATGTTCGATCATCGGTGCCTTCGCAGTTTGGCTCACATCTGGTGGGAACACCGCATGAGCGACGAGCGTGTTCGACGTCTTGCTTATGGCACAAGAAAAAGTAATGAACCGCTCAGCATCGTTACTTCAAGCACGAGACTACGATGGCTCGGCCACGTGTTGCGCACGCCAACCAACCGACTCCCGCGACGTGCGTTCTTTGCATGCCGGAGGTGTGGATGGAAGAAGAGGTGGCTAAGCGATGACTTGGTCGAGAGGAATGAAGGTCCTCACTTCGAAGCTTGCCCCGGTTGAAGCGTTTCGGCTCCCAGGTTGGGGTCCGAAAGACGATGAACACGTTTGGTTAGATACACTTGCTAACATGGCTAGGATCCGATCTTAATGGTGTTCGTGCTATGAGTTTCTTTGTTCCTCTCCATTTCTCCTAGCTTCCATTTCCAACCACGATCTCATGGATTAGCATGATATAAGTTTGCATAATAACTTTTTTGCTATATGGTAGCCGGCTTGTAGCTTTCCGTAACAATGCCCATCTGTTAGCAGTAGCTCAACCGGCGTGCACCTGTAGTTGCTTTCTCTTTTATGGATTGCGGCACAGTAGCTGAGGCATTTTCCACCTCTAGCTAACGTGTATAATGATGATGAGAAGGATTGCTCGTGTGTGGTGGCAACAAGGTATCTGCAGCGGTGGTTAGATGTCGCGTCTTAAGAAGTGCTAGTATTCCATGCAACAAGCTGGTTTTGCCCAGCCAGATAAGATGACTCGGACACATCCTGCGTATGCAATTTGAGCGTTTGTCTCATCGTGCCGTTCGCTTGTCCAGGACTCGACTGAAAGAAACCACGCGGTGGTGACGGCAGATGAAATTGCTGACTTCACATATAGCCACCATTGGATCCACACGCCTGTTTGGTTGGGGACTAAGGGATGAGAAGTGCCTGTGACCTTCGACTTCCGTCTGTGCGATTCCGGTTGAACTGAATTCGTTATCTGCTAGCTCCGAATCCCAGAAGTCAATGTCTGGAGGCAAAAGCGTGTTGCGGAATAAGCTACCGAAAGGAGTACAAGTAGTGTGAAAACAGCGGGCATTTTTATAAGTCTACCAAGGTAGTTTCACATAACAGAACAGCTAGGGCAGCTGTACTGATTGGTAGACCAGTTCGCTAGCCAATGTGAAGGTTGGTGCGCACGTTGTGTGGACGCCAAGATTCCTGAAGGGAACGTAGTTGAAACCACTTGATGTTTCCATTGTACACTATTGACTCAAATTGTTTTCTTATTGAATTACTGAGTTTTCCAGGGAGATTTCTCTCCCTGACAGTGCCAATGCCTCAAAACACCTCAGGATATGGCGCGTAATCGAAAACAGGAGATTCGCGTACATAATTGTTATAAAAGTGTTTAATGACCAACAATTGAAAGAGCTAAAAATTGGCGTGTCAATGTCACTAACCGGTTCAGTGGGTAGAGTAAAGTGCACGCAGTAAGTGCGGCAAATCTTTGTAACAACTCATATGATCATAGATATTAACACGTAACAAACTTAGGATGATCGGAGAGAAGAATAGGGGCAAGCGAACATAAAAGACAAGCGACAAAAGTAGAAAACTTCACAACTGTCGTGTGGAAGAATGAAGGGTAAGAAGTAGGAGACTGAATCCACAATCACTATTGTCTTCGGGACTGTGTCAAGTTCGACGGATTTACTGGTCAGCAAATCCAAAGTTTTCCCCACAGGAACGTGGCACAGTTATCTGAACAGTTCCTTCACGCCTCCCAATAATTTCGCCGGTAAGAATAGGTGCCGAGATTTGAGTGCTGTGGGTGCTGTTGGTCCGTCTCGCCTTCCAGACTGGAGCACAAGTGATCCGCCTTGTACTTAGCTCGAGACGTTACAAAACATGGCTCGCAATCGGCACTAACGGCATATCTGCTATCGTGTCCTAGTCGGACTGCCTATTCAAAGTGTGTTTGGTGTTGAGTTATCTGCGGGGTAATAGCTGATTATGACGCGGGGCAAAGAAAACAGCAAGGAAGCTATCTCCCCGATGTTGCCTTATCCTTGCATGATAGTCAGCTGTTTGTGACTACGTTGTTGACAAGGGGTAGGCGTAGTGACCCTGAATGTTTGCTTGTGGGTTTTAAGCTAGGTTCCTTTCTCTCGCACTTACTGCTCTTCGTTCCGCAGGTTATTGTAGCTATAAATCGGCGAGGAATCAGTTGAAATGGCTGATGCAATGCTGTTGAGGATGTTGGGTCTAGGTGCCCGTCTTTAGGTGGCTGTAGCAACGGCAGTGACGATCGTGAGGGTGATGAAATCAGCTCATATGTTGCAGAAGCAACAACTACATGCACGAAGATGCAACATCATTGGATGCAGAATGGGTTTTTATTGATCTCAAAGACCGTGTATACAATGACAACGAGTGCTATTCTCCTTGGTGGCTGCGAAGATCCTCCCTTCGGCTTGAAGATCTCAGACACATCCATTGTTGATTGTAGAGCATTGGTTTGATAAAAATTCTCCTGCCGCATGTTTCTCCATTAAGATGTACACTGCGCCATAACTGTGTGGTGATTGAGATATAATCAAATATGTGGATGCAAGCACTCAGAGACAAAGCGTGAAACGTGAAGGTTGAGAAGCGAAGTGCTTCCAGGAAGCTTGTCAGACACCTGCGATCCTGCTTCAAGATGGTATCAGGAGGTGATCCAAGGAGGATAGGAGAAGCCGACTCATTTCAAACGACTTGCACAACTGGTAGCTCTAAGGTCAATTCAGTCCAGTGGCAGAAGGTATTCAGATAACGGCAACTGCGTCCTGAATTCGAAGTGCAGCCTGCCCATCTTTACGTAATAGGATAAAGACAGGAAGTGTGCATACGCAAACTATCGGTACAAAGGAAGAGGGACGATGCACGTAGAGAAGGTGGATGAATCCTCAGTGACAGTACGGATTGCGATCGCCGAGGAGATCGGATCAGTGACTGCCGCTTGTATGAGTAGCGTGGTTGTTATAGACAACTGAGTAAGAGAAAGGAAAGCCGCACCTCCAATGCTGTTAGGTTTTTCTCATTCTGACACAGTTTAAACAGATCTCCTTCTTTGTAAGGCCCCAATCCCAGCCATAAGTCAACGACAGGACGCGAACGAGTGGTTCAAGCTCAGTTATTGAAAATAGTGTAAGTAGCGTGATAACCCATGTATATTTATCGCTACCCAGGAATGTCCAAGCTCCAGAAGTAGCAGTTCAGTTCCGCCTGATCAACGAAGAGGCAGTTGCACGCGTCACGCGATGGACCTGAATGTTATTGAGATGACTTAATGCTCGCAGGTACATCACTGCCTCAAATCGTTTTATCATTGAAATAACGAATTTTCCTAGGAGAGTTTAAATACTTCCAGAGAAACGTCCTTAAGTCGTCCCCAACGTTTATGCGAAAACTGTGGTCAATTGTAAAAACAAACTCAAAAAATGGCGATATCAATACCCACAAAGACAAGCTGACTTACTTGAAACCCGTAACGCGTTTGTCTAGGGTTCCAACAGTAGCGTTTCAGAGCACTGAGGGCACCAGAGGTAAGAAGCGGGGCCTCGATCAGGAAACGTCCGAAATAGCTAAAACGGAAATTGATACGAGTGAAAAATTGACACCGTTGTATTCGAAATCTATACGGATGAGTAGGATTATGCACAACCAATACAAAGGGTGTGGTGGAAGCCGTCTATATTGGGAATCGTACAAGCTCCAATGCTACCTCATTGTGCCGCTAGATGGAGTAAATAAATGTGCCATCACAGCTCGACATTTGCAGGCTTTATGTGAACTGCGAGCTAAGGACGTAGTTGTAATGAAACCAGATAAAGGTTCAGAAGTGGTAATCATGAACAAAACTGAATACAATGAGATGTGCGCCATACTCAACGATGCGAGTAAATTCGAACGGCTTATGAAAGTTGGGGACATAACCAATGTCAGAACACGCATAGTTCGTCACCTGGAATTGCTTCTCCTCCACCGCGTGATAGACTTTGATACATTTAATAGTTTGAAGCCGAGTGGTAGCACTATTCCACAGTTGTATGGGTCCCCAAAGGCACATAAGAGTGAAGTGCCACTCAGGCCAATCGTTTCAATGATGAACGCACCCCAGCATAAACTCGCTCGTTGATTAGTGAAGTTGCTAGCTCCGCTAAAACAACAGTTCAATCCGTACAGTCTTAAAGCCTCGTTCCAACTCACCGATGACCTGGATGAACTGAACCTGTCAAAGTCATATGTTCCTTGGATGTAGAATCCTTATTTACTAACGTGTCGCTACATCAGACGGTTGATTACGTGTGCGAATAAGCTGAAAACGGTGGCTGTTCGCTACCAATTCCGACTGAATTACTAAGAGAATCTCTACTATTGTGCACGGACAATGTGGATTTTCACTTCCGGTATACACCATACTGTCAGACTGATGGCGTAGCAATGGGTAACCCATTAGGTCCTGTGCTCGCTGATTTCTTCATGTTGATGGTAGAAAGAAACAGTTCTATGGAAATGGCCCAGGTGCCCTACTACAAACGATATGTCGATGATATTTTGGTTTTGTATTCGTCGGAGTAGCAGCTCATACATTTGGTAGAACGGCTCAATGGTGCTCATGCTAACTTACGGGTTACACACGAAATAGAACAGAACAACTGTCTGCCATACCTGGACATACTCATAAGTCGCAGGGATGATGGATTGATTAAGAGGTCCATTTACCGCAAATCAACTTGGTGCGGTCAGTACCTGCACTTCACCAGCTTCACACCAGTGCGGTACAAACGGACACTTGTGAAGACTCTAGTTAGTCACGCCAGACGAATTTGTTCGGCCGACTGTCTGGACGATGAGCTAGTGTTAATTACAGCAACATTAATGGCGAATGGCTACCTTCGAAGATTTATCGAGAAACACAGCCAACCGCGAGGACCAAAGGAGTTGGTGCACATGGCAGCCAAGAAAAAAGTGTATATCGAGTTACCTTTCAAGGGTGACTTAGCCACGCCGAAGACAACCAAGCGTATAATTTCGGCTACACAAGGAAGTTACTATGCTGCACAAGTTGTCGTCATCAACCGAACCGGAAATTTGCCCAAACCAACGAAGGAAGATCAGCCTATTGGTGCCAACTCACACGGTGTATACCAATTTGTATGTGATTGCGGAAAAAGTTACATAGGCAGAACTAATAGAACGCTGACTTCCCGAATAAAGGAACATGTACCAACGTGGGTTCAACTTGAAGTTGCTCAGATTGCCTACCCTCGTCAGCTTCCATGTACACGCAGATCACCGGCTTCCTCGATAGGCAAACACCTATTAGACTCGGGTCACCAGATAGAGCTGGGCTCAGTGTTTAAAGTTGTATTACACTGATGTATCACACTGATCCCCGTTTCCTTCGGTTTGCTGAGGCTGTCGCTATAAGCCGGATTAAGCCAGCCTTGTCAGCCTAAAGCTGCCTTGGACGTAAGTGTGAACTTCCGTCATTCGTTTTGCACCTTAAGCTTGCCTGGTTGCACCCACTGTTAGCTATATCTATACATATCGGTTATTGTTAATGGTACTGAGGAGACAATACGAAATGCATGCATCTACCAGCATTCGTCTTCGTTCTGTGCTTTTCAAAGGCAGAGGAGTTATGCCTCAGAGGGTATGACAACTGCGAGAAACCTCGAAGCACAGAAGCGACAGAAGTCAGGACACACGACGTATAGTCAATGTTACGTACTAGGTGATTCGAAAAATATCCTCGCATCTGCGCAATATGTGCGTTTCAGGATCATAATAGCTCTCAGAGCATGTGTGACAACACAAGCGGACTTGTCAGCACTCCTAGTACGATGGTTGTGATAAAGCACTGCAGACTTATGGCTAGCCTGATAGTTTAAAGAGGGGGTGAGCATGAACAGTTTCGTAGCAAGCTCCTATCTGTTCAAGACGGAACATTAGTTACCAAGTGATACGTAAGCAGTTAATCAGTGACGGCCGGTGGCCGAGTGGTCTGCACGTTTGGTTTGCAACCATAAGGTCACCGGTCCAAATCCGCGTAGGGGTGGGCGTCCTCGCGATATAGCCTGCACGCGACTGGTGGGGGTCGCGCGACAGCGAAGCGCAATTGTCGCGTACAGCTGACATTGCAATCAGTGACGATTAAGAACCTTAACTGCTAAAGGCATCCGCTAATCTTGTGACGTCGTGATTGACCGTACAGTTGAAAGATGGTGGTAAAAGTTCTATGAAACAAGGTGAAGACAACACACAGACTTAAGTTGAACGGAAAAGGAAAATATCCAAAATACCAAATGGAAAAAATTAGTCGGGGTACAGGTCACTTACGTTTGCCTAACATCCGGATGAGCCAACCGCTGCAAGATATCGACGAACAGACAATCGTAGAAGGGTAAGCAACCCAAGTCGTCTGGCGAGGAAACCGTTTTGATCTTTGATGGCTTGGCTTGGAACACGCTCGAGGTAGATCGACTATGACCCGATTTCGATTCCGACTTCAAAGTTCTGACAGCACTGGTCGCGTCCAGTGAACTCAAATGCATCGAAGGTGAACGGTCGGACACACTGTCAACCGACGACGCATTGTCCTCGTCATCGTGTGGTACGACCGTAACCTCACCAGACACACCGACATCGTCCAAAACGTCCGACTGTGAATCGCATTCGGAAATGTCCGTCTGATGTTCTGAGTCGAGCTTTGTTGGCGAACGTAACTGCTTACCGGTCCTCTCATCTAACCGGGGAGGACTGGCTGCATCGGAAGCCGAATGTTTACGTTTGAGGTTTTGCGATTGTTCCAACTGATGTCGTCGATACTCGATGAATTCGTCGAACCCAACCACCTGAAATCCGCGGAATCGGCAATACTCTTGCATAAGCAATTTGGAGAGTAGTTCGAAGCCTTGGCGCAGATTTTTGATTGCGTAATCAATTAGAACTAGGCGGTGATGAGAGAGAAAGAACTTATTGGCGAACTATCGGACAGAAAGAGGAGTGCAACAAGCAGGGAAAACACAGTGGAGAAAAGTAATGTGGTAGACGGAGGCGGGATCAGACAGCGGCTAGGTTTTGAGTAATGCCGGCAAACGGTTCCACCGGATGATTACATAACGGTTTCAAAACAGCAAGAAGGAACCACATGTCAACTGGATAAACTGAAATCGGCTATTTCGCGTATTTTCGTGATTAGGTTGCATACTGGGACAAATCAAGGTTCAATTCATCAGCAAAGGGTCAGGCAGTTAAAAGTCATTGGGTGCATGTGCTCCGCAATGGTGAGGTCAGTGCCCGTTTTTCTACAAGCACCAGCGAACTGACCGTCAATTGGTCTGTGTACACAACTAAGTCATTCCACAAAATCGTAGGTAAACAATTGGCGAGAACATGCAAAATAACTAAACTCAATTTGTTCCGTTGAAATGTGCTTCTTTTAGGCTATTTGTTGATTTGTGAGATGAAAAATGTATGAAATTTCCAAACAATTCAGTTTACCCACCGAATCACTGAGCGCCGAAGTGCGCTGACAGTGCGGGGGGGGGGTAATAGAATGGCGCAAAGAACACAAAGGACAGAAATTCAGGAGTGAAGGAAGGTATAAACGTTAGTTGAAAAAGCGAACCGGCAGAGGCAATAACGGTAACAACGCAAAAACGTCATTGGCTCGGTGGTTCGCCACAGTAGAGTCGCCACCAAGGATATGATTGAGACCGTGAAGTGTAACCGAAAAGATGGGATGGACCATCCATATCAAGTATTCAAGTTAGTTCCTCCAAGCCCTTTAGCCACACTGTTGGTTGATCACCACAGAGATTCACTCAACAAACAGTACATGCCAAGGCCAGTGCTTTGGAAGCACCCGATGAACATGAACGAATAAATGGAGACGGTTCAAGGACAGGAGACAAATGTGTTAGCCTTAGGGAATCCGCTGACAAACATCAAGTAGCGAGAAGCATCACGAATCATACGGTAATCAGGGGCAAAAGTGAGAAACGACGACCAAGCACTCAGTGTTCCCTGTACACAATGACCATGTCTCTGATTACTGTGACAAACCATAAGGCAAGTTCTTAACGCCTACGTAGATGATGCAAGCTTAAAAAGCCCGATGGGTTTTTGAGAAGATTCGTCGCAGCTACACTCAGCCAGACAGCCGCCAGACATCTAGGAAAGCGATAGACGGCCATTTTGTTACATTGGGACTCATCAGTAGCGCGCATCCGCCGGATGCTAATGGATCCGAACCCATGACCTTACTCCGAGTCCGCGACTTATGCCACTGAGCCGTAGATGACGGCGACGGACTGCCGAAACTGATTTCTAACGTCACTAAAGCGCGGATCATCCTCCACAGCCATTTATGCTATGGACGAGCAGAGGACAGGACTGGTCATCTGAGCTACAACTCCCTATACACATGGTTGCTAATCGAGGTGGCATATAGGCTGCTAAGGTGTTTGCTCTCTACCCGTATGGGACTTTACGATATGCGCGTGAGTCTTCGTTACCATGACTGAATGAGATGAGATGGGGGACCGAGGCGAACAAACTGGTCGGCCCATTCTACTGGTGACTATAGGATAGCCTTACAATTGCATCTTGCATATGGAAGGCATGAAACATTTAACGAAACGCTTAGTGCTCTGGGTCAACCTATCATGAAGCGTGGACACAAAGGCTGGGTCTGATAGCAAAGGAAGCTGTGTAGCCCTTGTGCTTCAAATGTCAATATACTGGATCGAATAGAGACGAACTAGTGCTAACTGAGCGAAAATCTAACCTAAATAGGAGTCCGTCTTTCTGCCGGTGGTGCTATTGAGAAAGAGATATGCGTTCTTGTTGTCAAGACCCAGTAAGTGTTCGGGAAACTTGACGGAGTTCGGCATTGTAGGGACGTCTGCAGACCAGTAAACGATCCGGTTTACAACGCCCCTCCGAATAGTGCTGCTATACGGAAATGTGTGCTAGTCGGTTAACCTGTGTATGACATGTGCCCATCACTGTAAATGATTAGTGGTGAAAATTCGCCCACCATGTGCGGTGGCAGCAACAAGTTGGCATGATGAAGTTAGACGTCGTTTTTGGAAACAGGTTTACTCCATGTAAACTTGTCTTTATGCGCCAGACGGGATGACTCGGTCACACACACTACATGTCGATGATTACCTGTGGCGTTTCGAGGTTATCATGACGATATCGTCCACATTAATCCGGATCAAGAAGCGCTTCAATACCCCGTCATGAGGTTCCACGACGGAACACTCCATGATGGAATCCATTTTAGAGTTTGGCAAAATGGGATGTACAGTGCACGAAACGACCAGCGTTGTTCGCCCTTTACCACTGACATCAAAGAAGCATTGCTCACATCGGGCGGAAGCGCCCAAGGAACAGCGCCGAGTTACACCAGTTGGAGATGGGAAATAGAAGACCTGATGCCACACTGAGCGGTCTATTGCACCTGAACCACATGCGTTGGTTAGGCTACCAGCTTGGACAGTGTCGTTTGCGACCCGGCTGAATGAAGACCCAAGGCGGTAGAACGATGACACAACAACAAATAATAATAATGATAACAATAATAATGTGTCCGCTGTACACCATAATGGCGCTTCGCTGCCACGCAACCACGACCAGTAGCGTGTGGGCTGAGTTTACCGCGAGGACGCCCACCCCTACGCGGATTCGAACCTAGAATCACCGAGTCACCTGCGTTCATGCTGATTACATGGAAGGTGGTTTCAGGATAAGCGGTAACGACAATCAAATACGAAAAATGGCAAATATGGGCAGCGGTTAACTAGAATCCCTGGCTGTTAGCTGAAAACCTTTCCATCCGACAAGTATAACCATTTTTCCAATTCGTTTTAGAATCATCTTTTGACTGTCAACTTTCGTCAATCTTTGCACAGCGATATTAACTGACTTGTTGTGTCAAAAGGTAGTCGAGGTAACTGGTGGGTTTGTTGCATGTACATGATTCGGCCACAGTAATTTGACTGGACTGAACCGAATAGAACAGCGAAGAAACGATAAGCTGATAGACAAGGAAACCTGAAGATCAGAGCTACTTGGCGAGCCAGCTCGATGGTCAGAACAGACAGCATCCCTGAGTGTAACAAAATCTCGACACAAGTGGTGCTGATCCTCAAAACAGTGGCTGTTGCGCCGATGGGGCCGAGTTTTGGGAGGATCCGGTTCACAGCTTGTGATAGAATAAAATGATATGAGGTTAAGATAATGGGAGAGCTAGCGGCAAAATAGGTGAAGAGATCTTTAGTGAAAATGAGTAAAAGCGGTCAGAGTGAGCAAAAAAGGGAATCTTCCTGAGGATCGGCCGCATATACGTAGCTAATAGACATTGAATTCAATAAAATTACGACCAACTGATTGTACTTACGATTGTAAAACTCGTTTCCGCCAAAACGACGAGTGGTCAAACGGGTGAGTAGTTTCATTCGACTGAGTTGCTCCCCGCTCGAACTCTGCTGATCAGATGCGGTGGAGGGCAGCAGCTGGTTCTCGGGTTTCGCCGCCGGCGTACGGCGTGTAGATGAGTCTTCTAGTCCATCAAGGATGCGAAGGAACGCGTCACGTGCTAGTTGCCGCTGGACAGTTTTCCCCAGTGGCATGGTCACAGCATCAAGCGAGAACGGTCGAGTATGTCCGTGAGGCGCTGTGAAAAGTAAAAGGCGATAGTAATATAAAACGTTTAAACACAGAAGCATCGTTTTCACGATAGCCTATGAACGTTGTAAATAGAGGTTCACACTTGTGACGTAGTGATTTATGCGATCACTGGACACTTCCGGTGAGTTTCAAAAGTATTATGCATGCGTTGCTGACAGCTGGCTGAGTCAAGTCAACCAGTCCCGTACGAAACCAGACGAAGTCTTCTATTACTCACGTGGAAGAGAGATGCATTTGCGGGCCGCCCATTAAACATGCTACGAGTTAAATCGATGCTGACTTATTTTAACACACATACAACGGAGATGTGAGCCAACGAGTTCTCGTGCGAGTAAAAACGAATACAGTAAGTATGATTGAGAGCAAGCGCGTGGCAGGATTTCATGCCTGTGTAAAAATATTGCGGAGTGACGTTGACAACCGGATCAGGATGTTATTGGGTACTCGCTACCCACTTAAACACATCAAATAACTTGCATAGATTATTCGCTGCTATAGGACCACGGTGATCTACCGAATTATGAGTAATATGAGCGAGAGAAGGGGTCCTAATAAGACATCAGCAGTACGCCGGTCGGCAGTACCGAGGTCCCGCTGCCGCATAAGCACCAATAGCCGCACGCGGACTAAAGATACTGCGATGGTCTCCCGGTCCCCACGCAGGCTCGAACGCGCGCCCACCTATTACCAGACAGACTTGTGATCCTCAAGGCTACAGGCCTAGAGTAAAATCTAAATGTGCTGAACAAACACTCGGGGTCAAGGTGCCTACGCCTTGTGAAAAACATGAGATCACAAACAGCTGGATATCTTGCAAAGGTAAGGTGGCATCAACGGAACTGCTTCCCGTAGTGTTCACTGCCCCACATCATAAGCAGCCATTACCCCGCAGATAACTTAGTAGCAGAAGTACTTTACACAGGTAATCCGACTGGGAGACGATAGCAAGCACACGACGGAGGACGGTCGCAGTCCCGAGCCAAACACAAAGCGGGGCACGTGAAGTCCAGTTTAGAAGATGAAGTGGACTAACAGCACTCAGTGCAGTTATCAGTGATTTCATTACCCGTTGTCGAGTCGACTTATGTACACCTCAAGGCTTGCGCCGTCCAGCGTCCAGTAAGCTAAACGAGGCACTTCGCGGTAAGCTGCGAGCAGGCATACGGAGCAGATGCTGAAATCAAAGCAATCTATCCTATAGTAGTTATTGACTGTAATCGGGGCATCCGTTGGAAGTGGTCGACAAATTCATTTATCTTGGAAGTTGTCTTAGTACTGGCGGTTTGACAGATGAGATCTCTCTGCGTGTCTCCAAGGCTAGAGTCCCTTTCGCTAACCTTCGTCACCTGTGGCTTCGTCGTGATCTCAGCCTCGCTCTCAAAGGACGAGTCTATAATGCTACGGTACAAGCGATTCTGCTGTACGGCTGTGAGACTTGGCCCCTTCGCAAAAGCGATGTTCAGCGGCTATCAGTCTTTGACCACCGCTGCCTATGAAGCATTGCTGGTGTTCGATGGCAGCATCACATCAGTAACGAGGAAATCCGCCGGTGAGTCTTCTAACGAACCGCCCATCGGTTGATAGCATCATCTCACTGCGGAAGCTTCGCTGGCTTGACCATGTGCTTCGCATGCCTATCCAGCGGCTATCACGACGAACCCTATTTGCGAGTACAGGCGTGGCTTGGAAGCGATGAAAAGGAGGGCAATGTGAAACATGGATCCAATGTGATAATGCACAAACGTTGAAGCTGACTGTTGTCGGGCCTTTCCGACTCCTGGGTTGGGGATCAAAGGACCCCGAGCACACCTGGTTGCAAACGCTGGAGGATATGGCCCCGGGACCGTACGCAATGGCGCATGTGCTGTAAGACCCTTTTACCCTAAGAGTTGTTTTCCCTTTCATGCTATCCTTTTTTCTTCTTATGTGTTGTAGCACGCAGCCAATTATATTGTAATTGGTGTAGTGTTGAATAAATAAATAAGTAGTACTCCTCTGTATAAATAATGGATGAGGAGGTGCTGATGCCATCTGACGCTAGCGATACCCGCGGTAGCTCATCACAAAGCTCAATCGGAACACTGAGAAATGCAGCTGAATTTGAGTCGCGCGATTGGGAAAGTGAATCCGTACGTAGTTCCAAAGAATTAGAGTCCTACGGATCACTGGGGCGAATGAGTTTAACGCAACGATCACGCTCTTAACAAGACGCGAATACAAAAGTGGATAAATTGTAGGGGCTCTTAACTGTGCGATTAATTTCGTCATTGGGTGAACACGTTAGTTAAAGATAGCCAGAGCATAGGGGGAGTGTGCTGGCGAAGGATTCCACTCCTATGTCAGTATCGATGTCACCGTAGCTGTGAATTCAATGGGAGAATGGTAATGACTTTGCTCAGCAACCTGTTCAATGGTTCACCCAGGCTACGCATTTCTAGAAGAAAAGCGCTGTAATGACTGATCAGACCACAGAAGGAGCGCGGCGATTGTAGATCCGTAGGCAGAGGCATCTTTTGCATGGTTCGGATATTTTCTAGCTCAGAGCGACGACAGTCATTTGCGAGAAGGAAGCCAAAGTATTTGATGGTTAGTGCAAAAAAGTACATTTGTCCTCACGGATTCGTGAACTATATGACTGGATGCATTCAAACGCTTCAGCGAGCCGCTCAAATAGTTCGTTTGCCATCCGGCTCCTTAGACTGATATCTACCAGGTATGCAGCGGCTCCAGAAACTCCCGCGAGCATGGTGTTCATCGGCTGCTGGCAGATGGCTGGTGCTGTTTTTACTCTAAAAGGGAGGCGGTTGTATAGGTACAAATCGCGATGAGTGCTGATGGGCAGCAATTTTCCCGAGCCGTTATCAACATCGACCTGGAGGTAGGCATCGGACAAGTCGAGCTTGGCGAAACACCTCCCACCATTTAGCTGGGCAAAGAAGTCCTCTGGTGTCGGGACGGGGTACTGGTGGTTGTTCAGTGCGACGTTCAAATCAGTTGGGAAATCGGCGTAGACACACACTTTACCGTTTGCTTTTCTCACAGCAACAATCAGCGCAGCCCATGATGAGTATTTCCCTGGTGTGATAACATCGGCGCGCTCCAGTCGATCGAGATCCTGATCAATTGTTGCCATGACTGCATACGGTACTGCTCTGTTTACCCTGAAGATTGCGTTGGTTCCTTCGCGAAAGCACAACTTTGCTTGGAACTTAGTGCAGTGGCCGAGTCCATCTTCAAACAACAAGGCAAATTTCTGCTTCAGCATTCTCGTCATGTCTTCAATCGACAGTGATGTAAGGACTGGATCAATTCGGACCCAATTGCAAACTTGACTTATTGAAATGTCAAACGGTTGTAGCCTTTTCATCCAGTCAAACTCAAGGAGGTTCAAATTTGGTCGGTCCGACAAGTAGCAGGTTCCGGTCTCTTCCACACCGTTGAAAGCAATTTTGCAGGTTCTTTCTCCGACCAGTTTCGACCCTCTGCCAGATGCATTGTAAGCGACTTTATTGGATTCAACCTTCTTCAGCCTCTATGTGTGATTCTAAGTGTTCTTGGAAATGATCATTATGTCTGAGGACGTACCGAAATGCAGCCTGGTTGGGATCCCGTTGATGAACACAGTGATGAATCTGCGGCGTGCTCTAGAATCACTGTGAAAAGCGGCAATTACCGAAAGATTCTGCATCAGGTTTACGGAGGTACTTCATATGGTAAGATGCTTTAGATTCTTTGACCGGGACTGATTAAAAAAAATCTTCCTTGTGGTTGCGTTTATGACACCCAAATGTGACGCTTGAGTGGACAGCAACGTGCAAAATGTCATTTACCACATGATCAGCAAAGTGTAGGCAGCTTGTTCGAGCTAGTATTTCTTATCTTGTTCAGAGCATGAACAGTATCGAGTATAGTGGAGCGACTCTGTTCAATCATGGCGGTATCAAGCTTCTGCCGCCTGTATTCGCCTGAGAGACTTCAATGTGAAATCAGGATCTTGATCTAACCTAGCGAGGAGCAGAGCGCTGATGTCCTTGTCACACGGAGACTGCAAAGCGCTGACAAAGTGCGTACCTTGAAACGTTCACACTCACGGTTAAGCATGTCTGCTAGTGCCCCATAATCGTCCGTATCCCGCTTAGCAAGTTTTAGACAATGATAGCGAATGCTAAACAAGGAAGCTGACTTATCAAAGTTCTTTGAGTAGTGCCAATGGTGAAGGTGATGTCCTTCGGCTCTTTGGGCAGGACGCGATCAACGAATGTTGAATGTACATTGGTACCGAGCTTGTGGAGCAGAAGTCGCACTTTCCTTGAATCATCCTAACGGCTGCAACGCATCCGAAACATGTCTTACGGGCGTTCGAACCGCGCATTGAAAGTGTAGTCGGAGTCAACATTATGCAGTGATGGAATTTGCAAAATTATTTAAGGAAATGACCTGCCTGTCCTACATAGCTGCTCGGATTGACTGTACATCCAAGCATTGCGTCAAAATTTCAATGAGATTCATCTGTGATCCATCTGGGATTGTTGCTGAAAATGCTTAGCGGAAAGTTCATCACATCTTCAGTTTTCTCCGTTGCCAGTGTTAGTTCTTTTAATTTCCTCGCTATTCCGAAGTAAACACCCAAAATTCTCCGCGAGACTTCTAGTTCAGCCAATGAAAAATAAAAAGTCTGACCTTGAATGAAAATAACGTCTTGACCAAACGCCGTCAAAAACGCTATACCGCTGTGCGAGACCTTGATCAAACGTATAGGTTGCGTAATGACCTTCGGTTTCTAGAAAACGAAGAGCAACTGGTAAAATTAGTAGCTGCATTGCCAACCGTCAGTATGTAAGCGGTCAAATGAAGGAATGGTAGGTTGCAAAATCTTCGAAATCAATGCATACTCGAAGTTAATCGATTGATTACTGAAAGAATGGAGTCTCCTTGATGTTTTTACTTTCACCTGGAAAATTCAAACCGCCGTTCCATCATCGACCA